AAACTGGTGACAAAAATTAGTCTAACATTGATACTGCCCTCTTACCTTCTCTTTGCTTTTTTTTTGCTGAGGACGATTTACCCTCAACTAACATCTGTTGCCAATCTTCCTCTATTTTGTATGTGAGCCACCACCACAGCATGGCCACTGATGGACAAGTGGTGTCGGTCCATGCCCGGGAACTGAATCCACACTGCTGATGCAGAGCATGCCAAACTTAACCACTAGGCCACCGGGGTTGGCCTTCTTGGCACTTTTAAAAGACTGCTGTCTTGTGCACAAAATTTCAACAAAGCATCCCTTTTCTCTCTGACCTATCAACTTTCCACATCAGAAAAAACCTCTACTCAGAGTTCCGGGGTTAGAAATACAATGCAGGTATTAGATCATGCCATCTGAATTACAAAACGTACACACACTGCATTGGTAGTATAGTAACAAAATAAGGACAATCGAGAGCTATACTATCATTTATTTCAAAGGAATGTTCTTCAGCATTACAACAAGATTGTCTTCATAAAATATAACAGGATCTCAGGGTTTTATAGAGAGACATTAGCTTTCAAGAATATTCTAAGGATAAGTATAAATTTACCTAGGAATCACTGGAAGTTCCAAAGGTATTAGTCCAGTTTACTTCTATTTCTTTTAGATGGGTGGGTGGCTAACACTAACCTCATTTTACGGAGTCTTCTAACAGATTAAGTCTATGGACGATCTGAGATATGCAAACAGCACATTAGAGAGAGAACAAGATTTATCTACAAGACAGGGCTCTGCCATTTACCAGCTGTATATTCTTGGGTAAATCATTTAAAAATATCTGTTTATTTTTAGTGAGGGAAGAAAAGACGAGGAGCTTGAACTAGGTGATTTCCAAGGATACTTCCAATTCTGACATTCTATGATTCTAAGTTTGATCATCAAAATTCAGGAATATTTACAACAGAGGTAGAGTTTATTTCATTCATTCATTTAACAAGGAATTATTGTCTGCTTTGTGTAAGCCATTAGGCTGGTTTTTTGGACTGGGCCCTACCTAAGTGGAACAAAAGACTATGTGGCCTAACTACCCCACTCAACCCCACTTACTAGCAGGAAGGGAACTTGGATTAGTTTAGATTAGTAGCTCTCAAACTTTAGCCTGCATCAAAATCACCAGGAATACTTGTGAAAACAGATTGCTGGGCCTCATCCCCAGGTTTCTGATTCAGTAGACCTCGGATGGAGCCTGAGAATTTGTGTATCTAACATGTTCCCAGATGATGCTGACACTGCTGGTTCAGGGGCACACTGTCAGAGCCACTGACTCAGATAAAGAGAAAGACCATAGAGGGGTCAAGTCTTATATGCCAGGAGTTACTACTCTACAGGTGTTGTTCTTGCCTTTTCTGCACACTTTTTCATCTCCATTTTCCTTGTAACAATGTCCACTCCCTCTCCTTTGAGAAGCAGTTAAATTCCTATTCTTTGTGATTCTGGTGAAACTGCTGATCTGGGGATAGAAATGTGACTCAAACTAAGATAGAAATGTAACGTGACGGGGCCATCACATCACTACATCTCTCCAGTCACATCGACTGGTCTTAGGGGGAAACACATGACCAAAGACAAGCCAGCTGCAGAGTTCTGCCCTAGAATTTTCCAAATCAAAGACAGAAGGATAGTTCATTCTTTCCCTTTGTAAAACAAACTAAAAGGATATGACTCCACCCTGGTCAGCAGCTACATGCAATAGGAGAATGAAGGCAACAAACAAAATGGAAGCTGAAGTGAAAGACAGACAGACAGAGGTAAGGTAATCATAAAATTAAGTCCCTGATATAGTTCTATCTGAGTCAGGCTGTACACTTGTTCTTCCCAGTTACAAAAGACGGTGCGTTCTGTACTGTAATTGGTGCCTGACATGCTCTTTTACTAAATTCTTTAATGTGAGGTCCAAAGAGAATAAAAGGATGTTGTAAGGCAGAAGCACACAAAAGTAGCTTAGTTTTGGACCTTTGGATAAGCTTGAATATGTAAAAGCAAGCATTCTATATCCCTATAGGTTTTGAGTATCTCTGTAGAATTCCTATAGCGCTCACTTTCTATCTCTAAAGGTACTTAAATATTCAGTCATACACTATAGTTATAATCTATGCATTTGTATTTCCCACTACTACAAAAAGGCACAGACCTTGGGGTAAAAATACTAAATTTGTATATCCAGAATATACAAATAACTCCTACAAATCAATAAGAAAAGGACAAACAAATAGGAAAATGGGCAAAGAAATGTCCAAATGGTCAGTAAAAATCATTAGTCATCAGGGAAATCCTCATTAAAAACACAATGAGATACCACCTCACATTTTCCAAAATTAAAAAGACTGCTGATATCTTGTATAAATAAGACTATAGAGCAGTGGGACCTGTCATATATTTTTATTTAGTCTGTAAATTGGCACAATCACTTTGGAAAACCATTTGACATATACTAAATTTAACTGTCTGCATATCCTAAGACTCAGAAATTCCATTTCTACACATATACCAAACAGAAATGCATGCACATTTGCACTAAGAATCTGGAAACATCACTCATCCCAACGTCTACACATATACCAAACAGAAATGCATGCACATTTGCACTAAGAATCTGGAAACATCACTCATCCCAACGTCTATTGATAGTAGAATGGATAAATTGTGATATTTTCATCCAATGGATTACTATACAGCAATAAAAATTAATGAACTACAGTTTCATAAAACTTACATAATGTTGAGCAAACAAAGCCAGACACAAAGGACTATATTCTGTATACTTCCACGTGTCAACTTTAAAGAGAATTAAGTAAAACGAAACAATGGTGTTTAAGGATGCACACTTATAAAGACAAAGAAGTACTTATCATAAAATCAGATTACTGATTACCTTTGGTGATGGGGAAAACAGGATGGCATCTAGAAGGCAGCACCAGGAAGACTAATGAAGTATGGTAAGATTCTATTTCTTGACCTGGTTGATAGTCATATGGTTGTTTGTGTCACGAAAATTCACTAAGCTGTACATTTTTGCTTTTTATACTCTGTGTTAAATTTTGCAACTAAAAAGTTTTAAAAAGCACATTCAATTCAAATCTTTCAAAACATTTATGTTATGTTTTTTTATAATTTTTAATACTAAAGTTTAACATTAAAAAGTCCTCAGAGCTAGTGGTGTTAAAGTTCATAAGATCATAAAAGGAACTTTTTCCAATTACACATGTGCTGTTCTCTCAGATGCTATCAAGCAATAAGCAAACATTACACCAGAGGAATGTACATAACGAGCTATGTAAATATTCCACCTAACAATCTATACTCTAACACATCATTCCCAGAAATGCTATCATTCTATATCTAAATGTCGAGTGTTTCTTCAGAATAATTGGTATACCAAGAAAAAAAAAAGTCAACCAAAAACAGCTTATTCATTTTAGCAGCTGTGATACTATTGTAATAACTTCAAACAACTATATTTGAAGTGGACAGGGAGGTATGGTCCCTCTTTAGTATTATATGCTATTCAGAAATGCAAAATACTTAACACAGTACTTTTCCACTTTATGGTGGAAAAATTATGTTTATACTTATGTGTGTTTTCCATTTAGATAAAAATGTTATCTGCTGAAAAGTGTCTTAGAGTCACAAATGACCTGAGATTCCTTTTAGGGAGCAAACAATGAAAGACAGGGACATGTTACAGGATAATGTTCCAACATTTTCCCAGAGCCTATCTTTCTCTGATTGATGAATGAAAACTGACAATAACAGAATGCTACATTTTTATCAATTTACTACTTCAGAAAGATAATTATCTAATAGGTAACTTTGTAACCAAACTATATTAAGAACTCCTACAAATCAATAAGTAGAATATACATTTTAGAAATGGATAAAAGATACAAAAAAGTAATACATATAAGAAATATTCACAGAAAAAATAAGCATGACCAATAAACATATGAAAAGATGCTAAACATTAATAATAATTAAAGAATGTTAATTAAAATATGATAACATTTTCTTCTCTATTGGCAAAAATGAAGAAGATCAAGAATATCCAATGTTGATAAGGGTATGAAAAACTAAAAGTACTTATATATTGATGGTAGGAGTATAAATTGGTACAAACTTTTTGAAAGGTGATTTGATAGTATCTATAAAATTCTAAACACATACACCTACCCTAATACCCAGCAACCCCAATTTTTAAATCTATCCTATGAAAATATTAGTGAAAGTGTGTAAAAAATATTTTAAGGATATTTATCATAGCATCAGCATGGAAGAATGAGTAAGTAAATTTTGGAATACACAGTGGACTATTAAACACTCATTTGAAATGCAGAATATCTTTGTTACCAATTTGAAAGATGTCCAAGATGCACTGCTAAGCAATGAAAATAAATTGCAGAAAATTATATATAGCATTTCCTTTTTATTTTTGGGAAAAAAAAAGTCTGCACATATGTATATATGTCAGCATAGAAAAAAGTCTGCAGGTATACACAACAAACAAACTCTTATCAGTGGTAACCTCTGGAGGGGAAGAGTGTTTTGTTTTGGAGATGAGGAATAGGGAGGAATTTTAATCTTTTATTTAATACTCCATATTGTTTGAATTCATTTTAATGAGTATATATTAATTTTTCCTTAAAGAAGTATTTAAATATAACATTTTTGAGTTTTTAATTTAACTAATTGACTCATTTTGGAGTTTCTTTGTTACTGTAATATTTTATGAATATTTTATGAACTAAGAGTTACTTTATGGTCAGACTGAGACTATTCTCTTAAAACCTGTAAAGGAAAACAACAAAAAACACCTAGAAATAGCAATCCTCTACCAGAGGCAGCATCAGTTCATTTTACTGAGGGATAAATTAGATTGAAAGTAAATGTTTGAGCTTAGTAACTACACAAAGCATTTTAAACAACAAAGATAGTAAAGTTAGACAAAGATGAAAACCCACCTGGACGATATCCAAAACCATGCCAGCTGAGACTGTTCCAAAACCAGCCAGCAAAAATGGCACAAGGATTTGCAGCGCCATGACACCACTGGATTCCTTCGGCAATTTCTGGTTTGCTTCCACGATGGCATCTTCGTCACCCTCACTGGATGTATCTTCATCCTGTAACATGGCAGTAGTCTCTGAAGCCTCCCTTCCATCACAGTAACTGTAGGAGGCATAGTCCTCATACTTCTGGCCACAGCTTGACGGCGTGTGCCCATTATTGCCGTGATAAGACTGCTCTGAGAAACTGTGATACTCCACGTGTTGCTCAGATCTCATGTTTTTAGTCTGTGCTGCAGTTGATAATCCATCTTGCCAAATGCCGTTTGCTTTCTTGTGCCTGTCTTCCTGGTTCTTCTGGTAAATTACTGGAACCATACTCAACAGTAAGTTTAAAAACTTATCTGACTGAATTGTATTTAAGCTTAAAGTCCAGTCTACAAAGGCTCCTCCGCTACTGGGACCACCACTTGTTTTGTTAGTAATAGATCTTCCTTTACTATTAGTCATATTGTCATCGCAAAAGACCCTGTACTCCTTAGATCTCAAGCTTCATGAACCACAGCAGATGAATCAGAACCACAGAAACGCTGGTTTAAATTAAGATGTTGACTTCATTTTGCAGGAAATAATGTTTCCAGTAACAAAAGATGTTTAGAAGTTGCACAGAGGGATCGGATCTGAAAAGAAAAAAATAAAATAATTTTTAGAAATCAGATTAACTGGGGCCGGCCCCGTGGTGTAGTGGTTAAGTTTGGCATGCTCTGCTTTGGTGGCCCGGGTTCGCAGGTTCAGATCCCAGGCATGGACCTACACCACTCATCAGCCATGCTGTGGCAGTGACCCACATATAAAGCAGAGGAAGACTGGCACAGATGTTAGCTCAGGGCTAATCTTGCTCAGGCCAAAAAAAAGCGTGTGTGTGGGAGCAGAAATTGGCAACAGATGTTAATTCAGGGCTAATCTTGCTCAGCAAAAAAAAAATCAGATAAACTATCTTGATACTTAAAATTTTCATAGTTAAAGGCATAAAACACATGTTTGTAAACCAACCCTAAGGTACTTACACTATACTTTGTGGGCTTAACACATAACTGCTTTATGCCATACAACTGCTCTGTACACAGAAATATAATACAGAGCTATTTTTTGTGCTCAATCTTGGTTAAAAGTGTTTCCTATCTTTGCATACTTTATGTAGTTAATACCTATGTAAAGTCTTCAGTTGCCCCCGAAGTTTTACAGCAGACAACCTTATTAAAGTGATGGTTTCTATTACTATAGAGGTCTGAGAATCAAATTGCTACAACTCTTTACATGTATTGGTACACAATAAAAGGTAAGGTATATGGCATTATATTTTAAACATATTAAACAATAAACCATGTTACTTTATTTACAACTTAATATACATTTTAAGATAATATACAACACACATATACACCCAGGCCTGTCTTATACTTCCAAGAACATCCAAGATCAAGAAATTGGCACTGACGTCAGCAGCATGGAAGAGTAAGTTGCTCCCTTTGTCTCACCCCTCTAAGTTATAAACAGTAGGACAGCCATAGACTAACAAAAGATCCTCAGCACAGAACACCAGAACGCCTGAGCGATCCATACATCTAAACATCTGACGATGAGTGCACTGGACCTTGTGGAGGCAGTGGAACCAGGGAAGCAGTGGCAGCAGCTTCCAAGACTGGAGCCTCCAGGAACTGTGACAGCACCTACAAATGAAAGTTCCAGGAATCGAGGCAATGCACATGACCAGAGGCTCCAGGAACTGCAGTGGCACCCACGACCCAGCCCCCTACCCCTGGTGGCAGTACCTGCAACCCTGACCTCCCAGCAGCAGGGACTGCACCCAAGACCCAGGTACCCCTGGCAGCGGTGACAGTGCCTGTGACCTGAGGTTCCAGAAACTGCAGTGGCACCCAAGACTAAAGCCTCCAGGAACCGCAGCAGTACCTGCAATCCAGGTACATCCCATCACAGTAGTGGTGGTGCCCATGACCCTGGCCTGCCCAGGGTCAGTGACACCCTGAACCCAGTGCCCCCAGCAGCAGCAGTGTCAGTGTTGGCACCCCCAGAAAACCTGGGAGCAAGTGGAGGAAGCACTCATGACAGCAGCCCCCTGGCCACAGCAGTGCCCAAGGCCACAGAGAGCCTAGTAGCAACAACAGGAGAGCCTGTGACCCCAGACCCCCCAGCTGCAGGAGCACCTGCAATCCCAGACCCTCCACCAACAGCAGTGACGCTTGTGGACCCAACAATCCCAGCATGGTGGAGGTGCCTAGGACCCTGGCTCTTGCCCCCCACCCCCACTCTCTGCCCTGGTGGGAAAACCTGCAACCCAGGTGAACCCAGAAGCAGCAGAGGTGCTTGCCAGCCTGGTGACCCTAGTGGTACGCCTGCAACCATAGTGACACGGGAAGCAGCAAGGCGCCAGCAACCTGGGAGGCACAAACAGCACAACAGGGCATGGAAGACAACTCTGCCAGAGGCAGTGGAGGGTGGAAAATTCCAGCTCTCAAATACAACCAGAACTAGCTCAGAATCAAAGTAAACAAAACCTTACCTAAATAAGAAAGGTGTTCACTACCACAAATGCAACAGCAGAGGAACAACTCATCAAGCACCATGAAAAATTACAACAACAAGGTATCATACACAGAAAATGTCAATTCTCCAAAAACCAAACTTGAAGTCATGGAAGGTTGCATTCTAATTAAGAAAGAATTCAAAATAGCTGTCATGAAGAAACTCAAAGAACTACAAGAAAACTCAGAAAGACAGTTCAATGAGCTAAGGAATAAAATTAATGAAAGGAAGAAGTGCTACACCAAAGAAATTGAAATTATAAAAAAGAACCAAACAGAAATTCTGGAGCTGAAGAACACAATAAATGAGACGAAAAATAAAGTAGAAAGCATAAGAAATAGAGCAGACCATATGGAAGAGAGAATTAGCAAGTTCAAAGATAGAATTCTAGAAACGATTCAGGTGCAAGAGGAGAGAGAACTAAAACTTTAAAAAAATGAAGAAATTCTATGAGAACTATCCAACTCAATTAGGAAAAGCGACATAAGAATAATGAGTATCCCAGAAGGCAAGGAGAGGGAGAAGGGAGCAGAGAATTTATTTAAAGAAATAATAGCTGAGAATTTCCCAAACCTGGGGAAGGAACTGGATATACAAGTACATGAAGCTAATAGAATACCTATTTATCTCAATGCAAAAAGACATTCTCCAAGACACCTTATGTTAAAACTGTCAAAAGTCAATGACAAAGAAAGAATACTAAAGGCAACCAGGGAGGAAAAAAGCAATAACCTACAAGGAAACCTCCATTAGGCTATAAGCAGATTTCTCAGCAGAAACCCTATAGTCCAGGAGAGAGTGGCATGATATGTTCAAAATATTGACAGATAAAAACCTCAGCCAAGAATACTTTATCCAGTAAAGATATCTTCCAAATATGAAGGAGAAATAAAGGCCTTCCCAGACAAATAAAAGCTGAGGGAGTTCACTGCCACTAAACCTGCCCTACAAGAAATGTTGAAAAGAACTCTCCCACCTAAAATGAAAAGGCAAAGGTAAACAAAGCTTTGAGCAAGGTGATAAGTTGATAGATAGAATCAGAAAATTGCAGCTCTATATCAGAATAGATTCATAAACACTTAATTATAACATAAAGGTTAAAGGGAAAGGAAGCATTAAAAATGACTACAGCCACTTTAATTTGATAATGAACTCACAATACAAAAAGGGACAATTTGTGAAAACAAAAACATAGAAAGGGAAGAGGACAAGGACAGAATCTGCATAGGCAAATGAAGATAAGATGCTATCAGAAGAAAAAGGCCTATCTCATCTATGAGATCTTTTATACAAACCTCATGGTAACCACAAAACAAAAATTCAGAGCAGAGTTACAAAACATAAAAAAAGAGTAAACAGGAAAACATCACAGAAAACCACCAAACTGAAATGGCAGACAGAAATACAAGAAAAAAGAAACAATGGAAATATAGAACAACCATAAAACAAAAGATAAAATGGCAGCATTAAGCCCTCATATATCAATAATCACCCTAGGGGCCAGCCTCGTGGCCGAGTGGTTAAGTTCATGTGTTCCGCTGTGGTGGCCCAGGGTTTCGCTGGTTCGGATCCTGGGTGCGGACATGGCACCACTCGTCAGGCCATGTTGAGGTGGCATCCCACATGCCACAACTAGAAGGACCTGCAACTAAGATATACAACTATGTACCAGGGGGATTGGGGGAGATAAAGCAGGAAAAAAAAAAGATTGGCAACAGTTGTTAGCTCAGGTGCCAATCTTAAAATAAATAAATAAATAAATAATCACCCTAAATGTAAATAGATTGAATTCACCAATCAAAAGACACAGAGGATTAAAAAACAATATGTCACTTCCAGGAGATCCATCTCAGCTCTGAAGACAAACATAGGCTCAAAGTAAAGAGATGGAAGATGATACTCCAAGCACATAGCAACCAAAGGTGAGTGTAACAGTATTTATATCAGACAAAATAGACTTTAAGCCAAAAACAATAACAGAAGACAAAGATGGAGATTATAAAATGACAAAAGGGCAATCTATCAAGAAGACATAACATTTATCAATATATATGCACCTAACATAGGAGCACCAAACTATATAAAGCGACTATTAACAGACCTAAAGGGAGAAATTGACAACAATAATAGGAGGGAACTTTAATACCCCACTTACATCAATGGATAAACCATTCAGACAGAAAGTTAACAAGGAAATGGCCTTAAATGAAACACTAGACCAGACAGACTTAATGGAGAGAGATATAGAACATTCCATACAAAAGCAGCAGAATACACATTCTTCTCAAGTGCACATGGCACATTCTCAAAGACAGATCATATGCTAGGAAACAAAACGAATCTCAATAAACTTAAAAAGACTGAAATCATATCAAGCATCTTTTCCAACCACAATGGTATGAAACTAGAAATCAAGTACAAGAGGAAAGCTGGAAAACTCATAAATAAGTGGACAGTAAACAACCTGCTACTGAAAAATTATTGGATCAACAGAAAAATCAAAGGAGAAATCAAAAAATACCTAGAGACAAATGAAAATGAAAACACAACATACCAAAATCTATGGGATACAGCAAAAGCAGTACTAAGAGGGAAGTGTGTGTGTATATATAGCACTAGAGGCCCACCTTAAGAAACAAAAAAAAATCTCAAACAATCTAACACCATATCTGAAAGAACTAGAAAAAAGAAGAACAAACAAAGCCCAAAGTCAGTAGAAGAAAGGAAATAATAAAAATCAGAGTGGAAATAATGAAATAGAGACCAAAAAGACAATAGAAAAGATCAATGAAACTAAGAGGTGGTACTTTCAAAAGACAAACAAAATCAACAAACCTTTAGCTAGAGTCACTAAGAAAAAAAGAGCAAAGTTTCAAATAAATAAAATCAGAAATGAAAGAGGAGAAATTACAATGGATACCATAGAAATACAAAGGCTTAGAAGAGAATACTATGACAAGCTACATGCCAACAAATTGGATAATCTAAAAGAAATGGAAAAATTCTTAGAATCATACAACCTTCCAAAACTGAATCAAGAAGAAATGGAGAATCTGAATTTTAAGACCAATCACTA